GCTATTAACTTTTAAACTGGCATTTCGAAAAAAAACAACTAGTTGGTTAGTTAATAAATTGCTTATATAAATTTTCAAAATTTTCTTTCCTACTAATTATTAGCTTTCTGCATTATAGAGTAAAAATAAAAGATTAAGGTAAAGTAGAAAAGAAATTCCATTGACTTTTCATTAAATTATTCAAAAATTGCGATTTCAAGTCATTAATGAATTTTATTTCTAAAATAATTCTAAAATTACATTCTTTTAATAATATTCAATTGTAAGTAACACTTCTACAATATGTAGAATGATTTATAGAATTTATTTAACAGCAAATTAATAATAAATTTCTGTCCACTATTTTCTAATAAATAACCAATATCGTTTTAATGAAGTCATTTTAAAATAGACAAAAATTTCAAAAAATTTCCAAAAATTTCAAAAAATTTCCAAAAATTTTAATTAACATTTAAAATTATGATAATTTTAAATTTTTAATCACAGTGTTTGTTTGTGTTAAATATTTATTTTCTTTTCCTGTGCTTAATATTTCAAAAGTTTCGTACATTTAATTTTCGGACTACGTAGAACAATATAATTAAAATAATATACGCACATGAAAATTTCTTACCTTAAAATTTTATATGCAATGCCATTATATTAAATATAAATATATATGTATGTCTATCCATATATAGATATAGAACTATGTACCCTTATATAAAAAACAAATACAATTACTATAATGTCCTCTCCAAACAAAATTTCAAAAAAACTAAGTCAACATAACTTAAGAAGCGGAAAATAAAAATGAAAAGGAAAAAAAAAAAGGAATTCGTTTTTATTTCTTTCATTTTAATATGCATTTATACATCTACAATTACACATATAATATCGTATGTATGTAATAAGGAAATACGTGTATACATAGTGTATATACAAAATGTTTGAGTAAAACATGTACACTCGAATAAATTCTCTTTCTTAAAATGATAATGAATAATTTGTTAGCCCTTAAGAATAGTATAAGGAAAACAAAAAAAAAAAATACAGTTTCCATTTTTTTTTATTTTCTCTTCCTGCTCCTTTTTTTTTTATTCGAAATATTCTTGTATTGTTAAATTGAAAGCAACAAAATGAAAATAACATTTTAAACTACTTAAAATATAAAAAAAAAATAAAGAACATATAGAATAAATAAAACAGAAGAAAAATTAAAGAGAATCCTTGTTATGTTCAAAATTCATGACCGTTCTTAAGTTACCGTTCCGAAATTTTGGTTTTTATTCTTTTGTATTTTGATCATTGTATTTTTTTTTCCTTTTTATTTTTCTTTTATTTCTTATTCTTAGTCTTTGTTTTTATCATTAAAAATTACGTTTACATTCTCATTTTATTTCTTCTTCAATTTCCTTCATATTTGAAGAGTTTTGTAAGGATTTTTTTATGTATGTGTATGTATGTGTCCATCATTATAATTTGTATAAATTTTTGCACTCGTACATGAATTAATTTTTATTTTTTCTTTTTTTAAATAATTACATGTATATTTGTGTATATGTAAGTCTTTATTTTATATTCTAATATGTACCAATACATATTTACAAATATAAATGGACAGATATAGGAAAGATATTAGGATCCTTAAAAATTTATTGATCTGTAAGAAATTAACTAATTGCCAAAAGTTTTTTCCAAATACAACGTACATGCAACACACATACACATACATATATAGACATATTATATATATTTGTTGTTTTTTTTTTGGATTCATGCTTTTCAATCGTATAAGCCGAATGTATAAAGTTCAATAAAATGAAATATATATAACCATATTGGATTTAATGTTTTCGTATATCATTTTGATTCAATTAATAATTTTCTCGATTGGAAATTGAAAATTGATTTTAATTTAAAATAGTCACGGACGATGTTTATAACCTTTTTTATATAATTGTAGGTTACATATTTGATTAAGCACATGTAGTAAATGAAATTATTTTGTGGAATATTACAACTTTGATACCCTATTAAAATTAATAATATGGCAATATTTCTAAAATTACTTATATCAAGCTCATTTTCACCAGTTTTAGTTTTTTAAATAACATGGGTTATTTACTAATGAACGCAACCAGTTGAAAGTATGAAACAACTTCTTATAAGAACCGGTTGCTCTAGCAAATTTTTTCCTTCATTTATCAAAATATAAAATAAGTGTTTATAATTCATAAATTTTTATTTTGTTCCTTTATGTGTATGTTGTTGGAAGTATTATTGAAAAAATTATTTTATATGCAAGTGTAGTCAAATTTCGGAAATATTAAGTTAAAAATTAAATATTTTAAAATTATAAATTGTAATTACTGAGAAAGCTACGCAATAACGTTACTATAAGTATTTTCTTTTTTATTTCAATTTTTGGTTTTCTTATGTTATACTACTTAAGTATAGTTCAAAAAGGACATCCGATATAAGACTAATATTTGTATACTTTTTGAGTAAAGAAAGTTTTTCCTTTTTATATAATGTTTATATATATATATATATATGAGTATGTATGTGAGTTCAATTTTTTATCTTTTTTTCTATTATTCTTGTTAATTTGAGATTCTCAAATTAATTTTTATCATTTGATTTTTGAAATCCTAATTTTTAAGGATAAAATTTTCGATTGATTTTTTATTTATTTTATTTTTTATATTTGTTTAAATTTAAGGATTTTGATTATCGTAAGTATTTTATTTATTTATTCGAGTAAATAATTTCTCCCTTTTTTGTTTTTATTTTGTGTTGTTTTGGTTTTTTGTATTTTTTTTTTTTTTGTTTGATTTTATTTAATTTTGCCTTTCATATTTTTTTTTAATTTTCCTTTGTTTTTTTTGTTTTTTTGCTAATTTAGCACTATTTAAAGGATAACGAAGCCTTAAATATTTACTCTTTACTTATTATGTATTCTATTTATTATTCTGCAATAAAAATGCTCTTTTCTTCCAAAAGAAAAAGGAAAAAAACTCGAAAAGGAAAGGTTTTGTAATTCAGTGTACGCATTCGAAGAGAATCTAAACTTTTATTATGTATGTATAAGTAAAGTAAACATGGAAAAAAAATTTTCTTTTTGACTTATTATTATTATTTTGGAAGGGATAGTCAGTATACTTTAAGAACTTGTCTTACTATGAATATATTAAAAAAATGTAGAGAGCCTTTTATTATTTTGTTTTTTTTTTCTTGTTAGAGAATCCTTAATAATAACAAATAAAATAAACAATATTATAGAATATAGAAAGGAAAAAAAATTGAGAAAAATTGGAATAATTTGAAAGGGAAAACAAAAAAAAAATTGAATAAAACACACAAAAAGAAAAGGTCAACTCTGTATAACTAATTTACCTGCAATGTAATTAAGGAGATTTTTTTTTTTTACCTTTAATGTTAAATAGCTATTTTTTTTCTGCTTTGTTTTTCTTAACATTTTTAATTTTCTAATACCAAATAATTTTTATGACAAAATGTGTAAATAAAGAGTATGTATATATATAAAGCTTTAACCTTCTCTGCGTTCAAACGGTTGATAAAATTTTGATCCCATCTCAAACTTAAGTTGAATCAAATTAATTGGCCGCTATATTATGAACTAATTTTTTATGAATCAGAAATTCGAATGAAAATTCGTTTCAAAACCAGATTTTAGAGTTATAAACTCAATTTCTACGCCTTTCCTTTTCAAGAGAAGTCCAGTCCCATTTAAACGTAAACAGAATAATTAACTCGGAGACAGATTCCGAAATGATGTTCAGAGTGCAATAGTTTTGCCAGATTTCAGAGCTCAAAGCTAAAGGATTGCTTTCTTCCATTCATGCAAATTGTAGCTGATAAAAATTCTGATGAAAAAAAAATAATTAATAAGAACACAAGTTCCTGTTCTTGAACGATTTTAGCACAACTTTTGAGTTGATTAACTTTATTTTTTGGTTTATATTTTCTTTTAAATAAAAATTAATTTTTGAAAAACTAACAGAAATATTCTCTAAGGATACTATTATACCCCTAGTAACGGACATGGGTTGTTATTTAACAGTAAAAAGCGGCGCAGTTAATAATAGAGTATTAAAAAAGTTATTTGCCTAGGTGGGAGAGAACAAGGAGAACAAAATTTTATAAAAATTTTATAAAAGATATGAAAGGTCGCCTATCGTTGACAAATTGTTTGTGTAATTTTTATTATTTACCATCAAAAAATATTTTCTGTCAGCTTGTTATTAATTGCCAAGGTAATTTCTCAAACTTGGTTGAAAAATCGTAAAAAAAAATATCACATTTAATTGGTTTTTTACTAAGCTCCAATAATTATGAATTTTCGTATTTTTTAATGATGGATTTGGTATTTGAACCTTTTTCTACGTATAAGAATTTGTTTATTTCTTTTTCTTGAAAAATTTGGTAAAATTAATCTAATTATAATTTTTATGTGAGTTTTTTCTAAGTATAAGTAATATCACAGCATATAATGCCAAATTAATGATGACATTACTATATCTAATTTTAAAAAAATCAAATGAAACAACAAATTATGTAGAAAAAATGTTGTTATATAGAAAAATTTCTCAATGGTCTATTTAAGCTAATAAGAAAGAAAATAATTTTGAATCCAATTATTGTTTAAGTTTTAATTTCTAAAGTACCTAATTAGGGATACTTACAAAAAACAAAAAATTGTCTGGAGAAACAAAAAATCTTCCTGAACAATAAGAAAAACAAAATGTTCAAAAATAATGAAAAAAGGATTTGACGGTGTAAGTATCCTTATATTCCAATCATCTTAGACATTATCTTTTTCATTTTGCCCTTTTTTAAAAGATTTATTTTATCAAATTTGCATAAAATTCATTTTTTAAACTTTTAAAACCCATTTAAAATTTTAATTTGATTAAAACTTGATTAATAATAAAAAAAAAAATTAAGATTTTTATTAAATTTATTTAATTTTGTTCAGTATTTGTTTTTTGTCTTACCTTAAAATCCTTTGAAAGAAACAGAGTCGAAAATTGCAATCTTGAAAATCCTGCAAAAGAAAAAAAAATAATTTTAATTAATTAATTTCAAAAATTGTAGAAAAATTTTTAAATTTTCCAACCTCACGCATTGATTTTTTCTTTCTATCTATTTTGTAAAACGCATTGAGAAAAATGGAGCTTTGTTTATTAAACAATGACTCATAAATTCAAAAATAATTTTATTAATATAATCACCAGTAAGTAGTTGTTAACACTACATATTGTTTAAAGTTACATTATTTAAATTGTTCGCAGCAAAACAATCCATATTTTGCTCATGGTCAAGATTTTAGCTTAAGGCCTTCGCTGTGATTATGTGTTGACTACTGCAAGTTTTTTCTTAAGCTTATTATAAAAACTATAAAATATCAGTTACACAAAATCAGATATTGTACAAGGAATTATCATTTAACAAATATTTGTTCTGAATAATTTTTTTGGGACGATAGTGTATTTAATTTGCAATAATCTCGCAGAATATAAAATACAAATGAGACTAGTCCAAAAATACCCCTTGTTCCCATATTTGTCGACTTTCCATTTGAACATACAGGTTTTTCAAAACAAAATAACTTTTAGAAACCTTCTCGGAACTTTTCTTAACATTTTCCTAAAAATTTAATGTCAATCGGATTCATAGCGTAGGATTGAATAAGCTGCAAACACTTTACTTCAAAATTAAATCAATACTTCCAGTACAATGATAAAAATTTAGATTTTTTCATTATCTCATTGAGTTTGAGGGCAAAATCAAGAAATTTTTCAAATTACACATAAAATAACCAACTTTTTTTCCTTTTTGAAACAAGTTTTGTTTTTATTAATATTTTAACAAGGACTAAACTTGTCATGGAACAGTACCATTAAATAATTGCTTGTAGTACTTAAATTTTTTGTATGTTTAATATTTTGTCTATTAATTATTTTAAAATACTTTGAGTTTTTTTTTTTTTTTGAAAACAAACTATCCATTAATTTTGTTAAAATTTTTTTCCATAGTTTAAAAAATATGGTTTATATAGTTTTATCCCATTATTTATTTCATTCATTCTAGTACATAAAAAACAAAAAGCAATTAATTAAAATTAGCTATATAAGAAAGCAATTCCATTTATTATAAACTGCTCTAAAGAAACTTTATTAAATTTATAAAAAAAAAACATAATTAAAATATGAAAGAAACTTTTTATTGCTAATAATTTATTATACTTTGTTATGGAACAAAATATAAATGCTAGGTTCGCATACCATTGTTTTGAGTCTCAAATGTTCATAACTTAGAAGCAGATTTAATCTTTGAGTTTATGGATATGAAAAACATTAGGAAAAAAATTACTACATATAGAGTACAACCCAATTATTGTTTTATTATAAAATTGCTATGAAAATCTGGAATATATCGAGGTTCAAAGTGTCAATTAAATTTAAGTAGAAAATTTCGGGGAAAATTTTTATTGAATATATGTGATTAATATTCAAACTAATCAAATGAAAAAGATTTTGCAAAAAAATTCTGAGTGTTTTTAAATTTTACTCTAATTTACCTTTCTATAGCTCGCCTATTTTAGATTTTTTATGCTTCAGATTAATGTCAAGCTATCTTGAATTTCAATCTATTATGTACCACATTCAAGGGTCACAAACATGCATTTAGAAAAATTAAGCTATGTAGTAAGATAAAAAATCGTCGTTCTCTAATGCAATTTGTTTACCTTATCAAAACTTTTCTAAAGAAATTTTAAATTTGCTTATTAGCCGCTCTAAAAGTTGTAGCCCCCAAAGTTCTGAAAGGCCAGTTTTCTAACTATTTATTGCAGCAAAATTATAAGCATTTTCCAATTTTTCAAACGCAGAAAAATAGTAGCTGATTCCTTCCAATGCGGCACAGCATAATAAAATATTAAAAAAGCAAAATGGCAGGTAAAATTTAACGTTATCTAAAGCCCAAATTTTTAATATCTTTTTTTTCAGACCGCAGGTTGTATTTCAGCAGCTTTTAGATACAAATAGTTGACTGTTTTTAAAAGCAGTATCTTCATCTGTTGAAGGAAAATAGTTCTGCTCTACAAGCCATTGGTTTGACCCAACTTTATTCAGTCTCTTTGTAAGCTTCAAAACACAACATGGTGTAAACAAGATTCAACCACGTCAAAAACAAAATACTTCCAACTTTCAACTACAATATTTTGATTTCCCGATTTTTAATTTTAATAAGTTTAACTACTGAATTTCTAAATATTCAAATTTGCTTATGATACTATTTTTTTGCAATTTAAATTTTATGACAATCAACAAAACAGATTTTGAGAAAATCCGACATCATTTTTGTAACTCTACATATATGCAAACTAATAATACGGACATTCATTCAATAGAAAAGTGAATAGTATATATATATTTTGTTATACCAATTATAACTATTTAAATATTTAGTAAAAGCAATTAAAAACAAATTCACATTTGTGAATAAAAATTTCCATTTCCATTAGAATAATTTAAAAATCACTAAAATTAGTAAAAATTACAAAAATAAATATACAAGTTCGTTTTGTCCTAGGTACCAAAATTCATTTACGTTTACCTTAATTTTTGTGAAATTGCAAAATTTAAAAATAAAAAAAAATTGATAATCTTTTCCCTACTATTAAGTTTTCAAAATTATAGTTAATATTCTTGGTAGAACCAACAAAAAAAATAAAATCATATTTAACTACTCGTTATTGTAGATCTATATGTGATATGTATGTATATGTGCATATACATATGTATGTATGTATGTATATGTATATGTATGTATATGTATGTATATGTATGTATATATTATCTGATCATTGGTGCAGTGGTTATGGCACCGGCCCTTTAACCGAAGGGTCTCGGGTTCAAACCCCGGTCAGGTCACTATAAAAAATTATATTCAATATTATATAACTTAATATGCAATACTAATAAATATTAAAAAACAAGTAATTTTCAAATATTCATAATATTCGATACTAAAAACTAAGAAAAATAAACAGTAAATATTAATAACCTCAAATAATTAATATAAATAAAACTACGGCAGGCTAGTCACCTACCTAGCTAACTCTCTATGACTATAAGAAACTAGGGCATGATAGATATCATGCACTAGCCCTATACTCCTCCTAGGAGTGAAGAAGGAAAAAAAAAAAAAAAAAAAAAAAAAAAAATGTATATGTGCATTATATATTAAGTATATTGGTATATAATATGATACGTGCTGAGATTGACATCAAAATTTAGATACGAAAAATTGCTATGAAACCTAAGTTTAACCATATAATTATAAATCTTTGACACAATTACTAAAATTGGCACATACTCTTTTGTCATTATTGTAAAGATGAAATGAAACTTTTTTTTTTTATTTTTGGCACATTAATAATGTCCTTATTTCTATTTTATTTTCATTTTTATTTTATTTTTCTTCTTTTCGTTTTCTTTTTTCATTCGTTAAGGCTATAATTTGTCCTTTTTCCATATTTTTTGAAAGCTAATTTAATGTAATTTTCGTTCATACATAGCTATATAACAATTTTTATTTTTTTTTATTTTTGGGTCGTCATAAAGCGTTTTTGAAAATGTAACAAGCCTTTTTAATTTATTTTTATTATCCTTTAAAAGGACATTTACTAACTATATCTGTCATTTGATAATTCTGTTATATTCTCTGGCTCTTATTAAAATCATACACAATATTTTTTTTTGTATACGAAAAATTGTTATAGGAAATTGTATATCAACTTTTTCTTTTCTCAGCAGATTTTCAGCTTCTATATTCTAATGATATTGAATACATTACAATAAGCCCAAAAAATAAAAAAAAAAAAATTTTTCTTTTGATTATTTGCAGGTGGCCTATTATATCCCTTGAAAGTTATTTTGCGGTAATTTCATATCTAGGCAAATTTTCAAGCATTACATTTATATTTTAAGATAGATTGAAGTTAAACATGAATTTTAAGAATATCCTTAAAACCTATAACTACACTGTATTTTTTTCTTATTGAGTACATTATATTCTAGGGGATGACAAAAGTATATATATATGAGATATTATAAAACGTTTTTTGAAAAAAGGTATAAGTATCAGCATACGAAAATATAATTGCTTGGAAATATTAACGTTTGGTAAATACTTGTACATACCTTTATATATATGTATAATATCACTAGATATATGCATGGGTACATTATTGAACATATATATGTATGTATATTTTGAATATTGACTTTAATTAAGGATATTAAGGTAATGTCCTTTTAACCGTATTAAAATGTAATGGTTTTAGATTGTTATTATGTACCTGTTTAATGTTCTATCACATACTTATATAGTCTGTTTTTTTATAGTATGCTTCAAGACTGTAATTTACCAAAAGGGAAAAGCCGTATAAATTAATGGTGACAATGAAATGAATAAAAAACAGAAGAATAAAAATAAAGAAACATGAAAAGCGAATAACAAAATATAAAATAATAAACAAAATTTTTATCTATATATTTCAAAAAAAAAATCTGTACATATCTTACTATTAAGAACTTTGAATATATTTATATTACAGATTCAAATCAACACCTATATATTATACGTCCTTTTCCTTTGACATATAAGTGGTACCGATTTAAGTGAAATATTGTAACCAAAATTTTAGATCCTTGCACTATATTAAATATAAAATCCTTATATTATAGATCTTCTAATACGACAATACATTAGTTGTTATATTAAATTGGATTACATATGATATTTTATATGCGGTAGAATAAATGTCAACTATAATACACGCATATAACGGTTTAACAGTTTTATTATTTTTACGATATGATAAAGGATGTCAAATGTAAATATAAATAAATTTTCTTTAGTTATTATTTTGTTACTTGATACTTTTAGATTTTATCGTGTGTACAAAATTATTGTATTTCTTAAAATTATCTTATATATATATTTTTTTTTGAATGTGAATGTTGTTAACATAAAAGC